AACCGCGGCCGGGGCCCTCCGTCTGCGTGTCGGTTCTTCCCCCCGCTTGTTTATGTTGATGGGGACAATAAATCCGGGGTCACTTCTGCCAGTGTAAACTCGGCCCAAGTGGGTTTACAGTGTTTGTCACGAAAAGTTAAACTTGTTCCTAAACATGCCCTAGTCTTACCCTTTCCTGCCTGCGAAGAAGGAAGTGTTACCTCACTGGCTGCGGCTGGTTTTATGACAGAATGTTTTCGGGGCACCTTGTGAGTCTCTGTTTGTGTACCGTTGTGCCCAGCTTGGCTCCCAGATGGCCAATTCCCTGAACGGCCGGAACCCTCGCAAGGGGCGGATTCTGGGTTTCATTGATGCCATTCAGGATGCTGTGGGCCCCCCCAAGCAGGCAGCTGCCGACCGCAGGACTGTGGAGAAGACCTGGAAGCTTATGGATAAAGTGGTGAGTGTGTGTGTGTGTGCATGCGTGTGTACACACGCCGAAGAACGGAGACTTTTAAATGTGTACACCTGAGGAAGCAGTGTTTTCCTGAGCTTTAATTGCTGCACTGTGTGTGCCTCGGGAAGTAAGGAGACTCGTGTTTTAGGTTGTTTAAGCACTTTTTTTTTTTCCTGTGGCCTCTGGCTATGCTTTTTTAATCTTGGTTTGTGGAGGGAAAACAAAAGTGTGTATTTGCCTTAGGCTATTGTTATTTTCAGATCCTTTAAAATGACTCAGGCTGGAAGAGCTTTTCTTAAAAAACAGAACAAATAACTGTTAAACTTGGTTCTTTTATTCGGATACTCTATATGTTTTATGTTGGATCATACTGTTAGTCTGCAGACAAGACCCCAAGCATGTAACTTCAGTTAAGCTAAATATCCTGTGAGACATACTCACGATGGATACATTTGTGCTTGTAGGAATGTGTGTGGAGCCTGGGGGATGTCACTCTTGTCAGTATAGTAAACAGATTTGTATGGCACTCTTAATTTTCGAGCGTATGTTCTGCATTTTAATGAATTTTTAAGTACTTTTCATTTTGAAACTGTAAATAGACACTGTACTGAAACTTATTTTTCAGGAAGTTGGGGGAGTAGACCATAATTTTTTAGATCTTATAGCTCTCTGGACCAGTTTGATACATTTTGCTTAGCATTGAACAAGATGACAGCTTACTTTAAATTAGCTCAGAGGATTTCATAGCAATGCTAGGAATAGTTTGATTATAACATAGATAACTGTTCAGGAGGCACAGGAGAGGGCTCTGTTTTGCATATAATTAATACTTGAGAGCTTCTTCTTGGAACTGTTGAGGAGAGAAGGTTACTTCTTGTTAGGTTCGGGTTCTTATGGCAGGAGAGTTATGACTCTGCCATAACTCTCCATAAGTTTTCCAGTTTGGAAAACTGGAA